TTTCTAACAAAAAGAAATTTTATGTAGTGTTTCTCAAGGTTATATTGACCGCCACTTTTTTCCCACCACAGAGCATTTCACTGGATTAATGATGTGCTTTTGGTCTATTTGACTTGAAACTTTGAGCCCGGATCAGAAATACTGAGATGTTAAGGGGAGAAGTATCTGTTGACAAGTGTGCTAGCTACACGCATCAACCTTCCAGACGTGGGAGCAGCAGTAGTGGAAATGAATGGAGGGAATTCCTCAGGGAGGTCAGTTCTGGCAGACAATCAAGCTCTCTAATACAGCGGCCCCTCCTCACCAGGAGCATTTCATTGGTGACCTTCCAAGTTTCTGGGTTCTATTTTTATTAGGGAAGACTTACCATGTGCCAGACATTAAGTCAGACTCTTGGAAAACAAAGATAAAAAGACAGTATCTGCCCTCAAAGAGTACAGTTAAAGGTGGGATAGAGAAGACAATTACAGTCAAGTGTCAGAGGAGGGGAAGGTCTAGCTTGCCCGCAAGGTGCTATGGTATGGCCAAGGGCACAGTTAGCCTGGGCCAAAGGGTTAAAGAACACATGAGAGAGGCCATGATGCCCAGGGCTAGTTCTTGAAGGCCAAGAAAGCTTAGCTAGGAAGAGGGGAAGAGCACATACAAAGGCAGAGAGGCTAGAGAAAATGGGGTATAGTCAAGGAACTTCAAGTGGCTTGCGTAGCTGGAACATGAGGTATGAGACTGAACAGGTACAAAGGGAGCAAAACATGAAGGGCCTTGTGTGGCAGGCTAGGGAATTTGGATCTTCCTCTCGAGATGAAGGGAGATTTTTTTAAAAATTGACTTTGGGGTTGGGGGGAGACAGAGAAGAGACATCAATTTGTTGTTCCACTATTTACACATTCACTGTTGATTCTTGCAGGTGCCCTCACTGGGATGGAACCAGCAACCCTGGCATAGTGGGACGCTGTGATCAACTGAGCTACCCAGCCAGGGTAATGAAGGGAGGTTATTAAAGGCTGTTGAACCTCAGGATCAGATTTACACTTTGAAAGCTCCCTCTGGCAGCAGTGTAGAAAATGGATTGTGGAGGCAGAAGATCAGAAAGTTCCCCGAGGCCAGCAAGAATGCAAGGGCCTAAAAAGAGGGAAGTGTGAATGGAGAGAAGAGGGCAAGTAAAAATGTTGAAACTGATAGGGCTGCATGAACCAAGACGCTGGGATGAAGGGGGAGAGAGGCACTGGTAGACAATTTCCAGGTTCCCCACTTAACAGTCCCAGGCAATGGTAGAGCCACATCTTAATACAAAGACTACAGGACAAGGGACTGGGCTTTTGGAAGGAGATAATGTATTCAGGTTTGCACTTGTTCTGTTCAAAATTCTGCTAAAACATGTGAAAAATGTCCAGACGGCTGGAACTCTAGGTTGAGAAATAACAGATTTGACAGCTATCAGAGTAAAAGTTGTACGTGAGGCCACAGGTGTGGGTGTGGACCAGGCAAGGAGTGAGTAGACAGAGAAGGAATCTGAGACAAAACCCCTGGGGAAGTAATATCTCCCTCTTCCAAATGCCTACAGCATGTCTGTAACTCATGGAATTTGTCACATGCTGCAATAAACAGAGCCCAGTGCCTATTGTGTACACAATGTATCGTGCTAGATGTAAGGGTACAAAAAGGAATAAAGAAGATTCTTTCAAGAAGACTGTGCTCTAGTTGTGGAGAATGAATTATACCCAACTATTATGCAAAACGAAATAAGGCCTATAAATGTGCTAAATGCAGAAGAGGCAATTAATTCACTGAGAGAACAGGTTGCAGGAGGGGAAGAGAACATTTGAGGTGGGCTTTAAAAAAGAAGTGGATTTTGCAAGCAGGGAAGGGGAAAGGCGGCAAGTAATTTAAGGCTGGAAATTAACACACAATAATCACAACAGAATCGAGTGTAGGAAGTGAGAGAGGGAGAGGCTGGCAATGTGGCTTGAGGCCAGGATCCAGGGAATCCTGCTGAGGTTTTTTTTTCAGGAGTCCATTTCAAAGGAAGCACATGTGTGTGCACACTCAGGCCTATGTATATCCAAGTGCTTGCACTGTAGATTCATTCCTGCCTATTTCCTAATTTCAGATATGCCTTTAAGAACAATGAATCAAAAATGCTAAAAGAAACCTACGAATCACCAAACTAAGGTTTGAAGCTTGTAAATGCTTTCTCTCAATTCTGTATTTCCATTCTGCAAAACTCTGTGGTAGTAGAACTTTAATTACTTTGCTTGATTATAAAATTTCCATCGCATGTAAGTGTAAATAATTTTACTCTAATGTTTTCATTTGAATCTGTGGCTGAAAGCATCAGTAGAAATCACATTTTTGTGGCATTCGTTGGCACGTTTAAGGAAAACAAAATGGATACTGCTAATCAAGTCATGTGTGACTTTGAAAGTGATGGATTATATAAAGATAGTAAATAATAAGAGATAAAGTATATTTTAAAGATGAAAAATATTTTATTTAAACTTTTCTTCATAAACACTTTTAACATTTTTTTCAATTTAAAAACAGAATGGATAGCATAAACATGTTTGAATAGATTATATTCACGGCTTGGGAAAAATTACCTGACAAAAATGTAAAGGCTTTCAAAACAGGTATAAAAGGCAAACCTTAAATTATTCTAAGATTTTTAAATCGGCCCTAGGATTAATTTGACTACCGGCCCAAAATGTACCTAAATGTCAAAATATTTTTCTAATAAACAAAGTATGCCCAAGAGGTATAGGGCATATACAAGTTAGGTAGAAAATAACCTCTCCGATCACCTCACTGGAACATTCCTTCCAAAAGCAAACTCTTAATCCTTACTGACATACTGATTAATAAGGTCTTTAATGTAATTGTTCCCAAAGATGTAAAAAAAGAAAGTCCAAGAATGTTACGGGGGAACAAAGTTGATGGCATTCTTGCAGTGTTACTCATGTACCAGTGAAGCTATACAGGTGTACTGAAAGGATATGACTTCCATGAGTTCACCTATTCCGGTTTATGTCTGTTGAATATTTGACTTTATAAACTCTTGATAAACTAATCTTTCAGGACTTTTGTTTTTAAGATAAATCTCTTTTTAGAAGATATTTATTCCCAAAGCAACTCTAATCCAATCGAACAAATGTATGATCCCTAAAAATGTTCAGAGTACAAAAAAAAGATCAAAAATGTGTAATAGGCAAACAAGAAAAATGGCACTAGCAGTTTTACTGCTATATAGCCCTCGATTATATCTAATTTCACTATTATCTATGTTGTGTTTCACTTCAATCTAAAACTTTAAATTATGTATTCTCAAAAGAGCTAGTCTTTTTTGAGAGATAGCTTATAAACTGAAATAACAATTTATATTATAAACTGAAATGTTATGACCTACAACCACATATACATATATAAAAATAGTCCCACTGAACGTTTGACATGTTTAGATTATGCAGCTCAAATAATTTGTTATAAAATATTTTAAAGCTTAGTTTTTGTAATTAAGACAAAACTCTCCATTTTTACCACTTCTCCCCATACAAATGTGTGTCCTTTACTATGACTCGAGCAGGCTTCCCAGAATGAGGTGTCCAAAGGTGCTGCTTTAGAAAAGGTAAGTGAAGGGCTCAGTCAGTATTTCACAAATTATAGTAACACTCACACAGAGCAATGAGGACACAGAGAAAGCTGTCTCAAGAAAAGCTAATAATTCTATTAATTAAGCTTTGCTTTTTAAAAAACCAGTAGTATTTCTTCCAATACAAAACCTTCAATGAGACAATCTTGAATTTTATGAAAAGGTTGTAGTGCAAGAATTTTCTTTAAGCAGATTAAAATAAAAACTTAGGTCAAAGACATGGAAGAGAACAAACATTTCTAATTAAGATGCAACTAATGAAGATCAGCTAATTTTGTAGTCTGGCATTTAAAATGTAAAGTGAAAATTAACATAAAGATTACAACAGTTGCACTGAATAGTTTCTAATCTCTTACTGAATTTTTTAAAAACTACTATCTTGAACACATACAATGTATATAAACAAAAATGGTTCCAAATGAAGCACACAAACAATAAACTTGAAAAAAATCTATGAAAAATTTTCCATAGTTTAGTATAACAAAAATAAATCTCTTTCAGCAATTAAACCATAACTTGAAAAGGGAATGTAAGTTATCATGGATTTAAAAGAACCTAAATCAGCGCTACATATAAACAGAAGAATTTTCTCATACATTCATAAAGAACCCAAGCAACAGCAACTGTTCTTAAAGCTCAAAACTGATTACAGCTAACATCAGGTCAGACATGACTTAAGTGTGAAGCTGAACCCAGAGTTAGTTCAAGTTAAGATTTCACAAATTTTCCAAAACAAGAATTTTGAACTTGGCCTTCTTTCTTTAGAATGGAAGACCAAGAATTTCAACTGTTTGCCCAGATCTTACCTTAACTAGGGCTACGAAGTCATATCTAACAATTAAAGAGAACCACCACTGGAGTGTAAGAGCCTGATGAAGGGTACCCTGTCTCGGTCTTTTCCAGCAAAAGACAACAACGAGGAAGATAATGAAGAAATTATTGTTATTTCCTTTAAAGCAAGACAGCAGACATACAAAACACTAAACCAACTAATATATTAGACAAAGAATTAATGACTAAGTTAATGCTAGTTTTCAAGAGTAAAATGATTAGAAATGATTTTTTAAAGTAGAAAAAAGACTTTTACCCATATTACCATGGGAATTGATATCGAGTTTCATTTTTAAAAACAGAAGAGTAAATGATAGAATCATTTAATACAAATTTAAGTCTCATATACAAAAGAACACTAATTTGATTTCTAAAACCAATGCCAATGTTTTTCTTTTTCAAAGATTACTTGTGTATCTGATTTGTTTCTTAAACCCAAACGCCTCCAGTTTTGGAGTTTTAAAATCAGGGTTTCTTTAAAAATAGTTGTCTCATTTAATTGCAAAAGAACAAAAGTCTTCACATTTCCATGACCTCACTCTTCTATCTCATGTTCAGTGGTGGCAGCAGCAAAAAAAAAAAAAAAAAAAAAAAGTGAAACTAGAAAATTTATACAATAGCCATACAGAAGGCATTGCAATATTGCACCAATATCCTAAGATCTGGCAAGTTTCGCCAGTGTAGATCTAATCTGTATCAGCTATAGACTCTACTCAGGAAAAAAATGGCATCAATTTGAACGAGCCATTCCCTGGTTATTCTTGCTTAACTCTGTCAACTATATGCTTTTCCTTCGACTTGAAAGGTGCGGCTAATCCTAAAACACTTACTACAAATGCTTTTAAACAGTTATTCTCGATCCATTCTCAACTTTGAGGTTACTGTCCTTCATGCTAGTAGCTTTCAGTAAATAAAACAAAAGCTGAGGGCTTACATCCCCAGTGCCGCTAAGTTTTCTTGTATTAAATAAACAAGGAGACATGACCAGTAAGATTATAATTCTATTCCTTACCTCTAAGTCAAAACTGAGGTCAAATTGTCCACAAGTTGCTACTTTCCATTCAATAACAGATGCAGCAGCCTTATTTAATGTAAAGAATGGAAGTTGCACTTACTTTTAAGGGGCCTTTATTTAGCAGTCTGGTATTCCCTAAATTCTCTTTAAAAAGTGCTTGCACGCTGCAGGGCCAGGGCTTGTCATATAGCACTCCAATTCTTACTAAAAACAGGGCAACGTTAAACAAACTGCAAAGAAAAAAACATGTTCAAAAAGAAGACATACATCCATAAAGAACACTACTGTTTACTTTTGAAAATAAAATATAAAATATTAGTTTTCATAAGTCCGTACATGTTTCAGGAATTCAAATATTACTGAATCAGTATGGACTGAAGATAGGCTACTTTGACATCAAATGAGGACTCCAGTTATTTTAACTTCCTAAAAATGTTAATACATGAAAAGACATTACATCTAAAATTCAACAAGTATGGCAAACCGTGTGTGCAAGTGCACTAGCTTAAAAATATAGAATCCTAACCACGCATAAAAGAGGATGTGCCTTATATATTCATAAGATGTATGCACGTACGGATACGCTTTCACTAACACAATGCAGGTAAGAGAAGGCAGCTTAGAAATAGTGTTTTGAATATAAAAAGTTAACTTCGTAGAAAATTTATATTTTTGCATTTTCAGCAAAAAGCCATGCAAAAAGGGCAACAGTTTTAAACTTAAACAATAAAACCAAAAGGTCTAACGGACTGAAATTAATGTTCAAAAAGATTTCAGATCGAGATAGGAACCGAAATTACATCAAGTGACACTTATCAGGTCTTCTCTTAAAAGATGCATGACTCCTACACTGACATCTGAGAGAAATGTTTAAAGCATACAATCAGCTTCCCAGATAAGTGGATCATTCTATTAAACTGCTTCAGGAAGTAGTTTCAAGAGCTAGTGCTTAGAACTAACTTATTGCATGAGTCTGAGGCCACTAAAAAGAAAAAAAAGGATGCTAGCACAGAATGAAAATTTTTTACACTATTAGACCAATGGCTTTGATAGTAAAACTGGTGAGGTTTTCCTTTATGCTTTTAATTAACTACTCTGTCACAAACAACTTCTCTGTTTGGCTTTGAAGTGAGAAAGATGTCATTAGTTGCAGCGTCTGACCTCATCCAGTATATATTCTGGAAAATGCAGGTTGCATACTTGTAAACCATCCAGCTTGCAGGGCATCCGCGGGTACTCATCTTCCTTCCACTTGTTTTCATCTGGATCAAAAGTGAGAATGGAATCGCTGTAATGACCATTGTAGCAAAGGCCTCCAAGAACCATTATTTGTTTGTCCAGCACAGTCACACCATGGCCACTTCTACCAATTGGCATGGATGCCAAGATAGTCCACTGATCAGTCTCTGGGTTGTACACTTCTGTGGAAGGGCAGCCCTGAGATTCAAAAGAGGCCCTCAAGATCACACAGACACCACCGAAGACGTAAAGCTTGCCGTTGTAAGAAATCATCTTGTGAAAGCATCTCGCATAATTCATTTTGCTCTTATTCTCCCAGCAGTTGGTAACAACTTGAGTTCTTCTGGTCCGTTGCTCTATGGTCCCTTCTTTACTGGGGTCAAAAACGCACACTTGTTTGGAGGTGGATGATGAGGTGATTCCACCAGTGATATACAACTTGTTATTGAGCACTGTCCCCTCATGTCCGTATTTGTTAACTGGGTAAGGATCCACAAACTCCCATTTATCATTGGTGATATCATATCTCTCTGTTGAATAGAAAGTCTCATCTCTGGTTCGGCCTGCTACAGCGTAAATAAACTTCCCAATAACACCAACCGCAAATTCTGAACGTGGTACAGACATGTCTGCCATGCGGAGCCAGGAGTTGTGTCTCGGGTCATATCTGAACACTTTGGAAGAAGCATGGAATTCACCATCTGGGCCTAATTCTTCGCCACCCAACAAGAACACGAAGTTATTGACAATAGCAAGGCAGTCCGGCCGCAGAGGTACTTGGGGACCCTCTAGTTCCCACCAGACTCTTGGTTTCTTTAAGAGAAGTATTTTACTGTTAACCATGCTGTGTCCAATCATGCCTCGGAATACTGTAGTTTGAGGTTTGGCAGAACGGATGCGGCTTGACTTCATGTCCAACAAAGGCTGCTGGTGAATGTTCTGAAAGTAATTCAATGCTTGGTCAACTTCATAGCGCAGCTGTCGAGAGTATCTATAAAATTCTGATGTCTTAACCTAAGAAAAAAGGAAAAGAATTTAACCAAAAGAAAGAACATCAATGGCAAATAAAACATCAAAGCCCACTAAGACAGTTAGTGTAAGATTTTAGACCTACTTTACTAAAATTGCTTTTCTTGTTAAGATCACAAACTTTTATAAAAGCTTTTATCACATTTGTTTTTGCAATCTATTATTTGTAATAACCTATGTATATTCCCAAGGTTTTTAAAGTAAACAAGTTACTTTCCAAGCACAAGCTAAATAAATTCCTCTAACAAAATGTATTAATCACCTATTGTATGCCAGGCCTGGGTGGTGACTATGAGGACAAATGTAGGTTTCACAGTAGAAAAAAACATGACCAGGGTTCCCTTGACTACATGGAACAGTGTAAGAACAACCATAACTGAATAATTTGGGGAATTAAGTTAGTGAGTTAGTAAAAATGTAAATATACACAAAATTCTCAGTAGGTTTTTCACATAAAGACTTGGTCTGATATCATCAACTACTATGGTAATAATTCAGTTGACAAGAAAAGGTCAATTTTTTTCATTTTATTTTTGGAGCAAGAACTACCTCATCAAGATGATTACTAAGATCTTACGAAGCACACTTTTAAGTATTATGCTAATGCTATAAGGAGATGAAAAATAAGGATGAGATGTGCTCTGTTTCTGCAGAGAACTTAGAAAGTATTTGGGGAAATGAAAACATACACATTTACCAATAAGTAAACAAGGCAGCTGACGGTTAGGAATGAAGCAGTACAGTGCATCTGTGAGTGCTGTAGAACTTTAGATACAGGACATTTCAAACTGGCCCAAAACAACCAAGTGGATACTTTGTGAAAGGAGTAAGAAACTGAAGGCCAAGCAGAAAAAGCCTGCATCGTATTTATAAAAAGAGAGCCTTGCCATTTTATTTTTCAAAATATGAGAAAGTTTATTTAGAAAGTTAGAGAGGTAGCAAAAGTGAGCCGTAGAAAAAACGGCCTAAGGAAACAAGTTACAGAGGCCAAGGAAGGGACCTCGGAGCTTAGGAAAGAGAAAGGCAAAGGTAAGGCACCTGGGGTTAGGAAAGGAGAGAAGGGAAAGGGGAGGGGCGTGCTCCTGAGAGGGAGAGTGCCCAGAGTCTTGCCATTTTAAACATGGATCTCCTGTGCTCAAATTAAATATTTAAGTTCCTACTGTGCACAGCCAGTGGTCTGAGAGCTACACAGGTTTTGAAGTAATAGAATCTTGTTCAGCATAGTAATTGAGCACTACGTCAAGTGGCCCAGGATGGTGATTAAGAATCTGATTTAGGAAATATCTGACTTTGCACTCACAAACTGTGCAATCTTGGGCAAGTAATCCAACATCCTTAAGCCCATTTCCTTATGTGTATTACTGGATAAAAATTGTACTTATACCTCATAACCCTAAGGTAGGAGACAAGCAAGATAGCCTATGTGAAAAGGAGTATGGTGCCTGTCATATGGCACTGTACAAAAAAAGTAACAGCAGTTACTAGCTATTATTATTGACCAGGGGACACCTGTGGAAGTGTCACTCAGCTTAAGTCAATGCATCTGATGATATGCTTTCAGTCTGTGTAAAAATTCAGTCTTTCAGAAAGTAGAGAAGAAATGGGAGAAGCTATCACTTTGGATCTAATCCTCACCAGTAAAACATGGTTACTAACAGCCCTGGCTGGTGTGGCTCGGGAGGTTGAGCACCAGCCTGCGAACCGACAGGTCACCAGTTCAATTCCCAGTCAGGGAACATTCCTGGGTTGCAGGCCAGGTCCCCAGTTGGGAGTGAGAGGAAACCAATCGATGTATCTCCCACACATTGATGTTTCTCTCCCTCTCTTTCTCCTTCTCTTCCCCTCTCTCTAAAAAATAAAAAATTAAAAATTTTTTTAAAAACATGATTAATAACATTACAAGTAGAAGGAAGCTTTAGAGAAAGCAGCCGTGTTGTTTGGAGATCAAGAAAGGAAGGGAAATTATGCACATATTGGATAGGCAGATTTCAAGTTTTTCAAAGAAAAATTAGGATCAATTCCAAAATCAGAAACTATGCAAAGGCTCTCAAAAGCATTGCTGACTGCATAATTGCAAAACATACTGATGAGGGAAAGAAAAGGGGAAAGTGACTAAAAAATCTGATGTGCTGCACAGAGAGCTTTCTGGAATTTAGATGTTAAAAAAACCACTTAAAACAGATGGTTAAAAAAAACAGGCACATAAAACAAGTATTAGTGGAATGGAGCTCTAAGAACATTGTGAACAAGGCTAAAGCCTCTCAATGAACTGTGACTTTACAAAGTGACAAATATTGAATAAATGGCATTTTAGAGGTTAAAGTAAAAAGACGTAGAGGAAAAAGTGAAGTCTCCCCTGGATGGGGTGGTTAATGTAATATTAACAAAGAGCCTTACTCCTATTTTATTTCCATTCTCAGCTAAGAATGTTTTATTCTCTCCAATCTGAAGATCAAATACAATGACTAAGAAGAAACTTAAATCCAAGATGGCTGAGGAAAAAAAAAAGAAAAAACAGCTAGATAGCCTCACTGAGTTCAAGTCATTTGATCTCAGAAATCACATCCTGGGATCCTGAGAGGCTTCACAGATAAGGCTGCCTAATTGCTGTCTGTAATCTGCGTGGAATCATGAAGAATGGTGAGGACTAGAAGCCAGACAGATTTCTCAAGTACAGGCTGGTTAGCCTGAGGCTGATCATGGATTGTTAATTAAGAAAGCACTGCACACTAGGAGAAAGCACACACTTGCCAGGTTATGCCAAGACTGACCGTTTCCGATTAAATTTTTGACTATGTAATAGCACTTGTAGAGAATGAGAGAACCTATGCCTTCAGCAAAGTAATCAACAAAGTCTAATCATAAAGGAACGAGAAACACTGAAGACCCATGAACTACGTGAAACTGCAGAAATAACTGTGTTAACGCATTTGAGGGGTAGGGTGAAGTGGTGATAAGTCCACAGCTTTGATCAGATACTCCAGGGATCTACAAACTCTAAACATAAAGCTTTAACTGATTCTACCCTCAACATGAACTAACAATGTGTGATATGATAGCCTTAAGAGTTAATAAAATCACGACAGAATTAAAACAATAGACAAACGCACATGCTCCATTAGAGTAAAACCACAACAAAGACAGTGTTCAGCTCCATTACTACACTTCAGACATTGGCAAAATAGACCGCATCTGAAGAAGATGGTAACTGTTTTAGGACCAGTAAGTAGAAATTAGAAGAAAGATTTTAGGCCAATACAAAAAAAAAAAAAAAGATTTGTAATTAGAACTGTCAAGAAGGTAATGGATGGTCACTGCACTATTATCTGTAAGGGTATGAAAACTGGGAACAACTCAAATATCAGTAAGGTTGAATAAACTCTTGAGATATATACCATATGCAGTAGCCATTAAAAAGAATGGTTAATCCATATGCACTAACACACTCAAAATTTGAAATGACAAAAACAGAAAAGTATATAGAATATTCTCAAAACACAGAAATGAACTGTTTACACAGTCAGTAGTATATGCAGAGGAAAGCATGTATTATACCTATACAACATACATCAGTGAGCTTGTCTGTATTTAGTTTTTTTATAGGGACCACAGTAAAAAAAAAAAAAAAAAGTATGGGTGCCTATTTTCCCAGGTCAGGGACTACCTCTGGAGTCAGTGAACATCCTGCCACTGGGGGTAGTCCAAGTGTGATGACCTATCAGGAGCACTGGGGAGGGACTCCAGCGTCACACGAGGTCTAGGAGAATGGCCTATAACAGCCTTCCACCTTCCAACCCCAGGCTCTTGCAGAGCCCTTCAAACCAAGCCAGTTTAACTGCTTCTTAGAGTCATTTTCCTGTCTCTCATTTTATACCCAATCTTCCTCTTCTCCATTCATTCGATTTACTCCTTTGAAACTTAGGTTCCAAAGAGTTTCCAAGATTCACTTTACCATGGAGTTAAAGTTCAAATCAAAGCTACATTATCTGTAACCAGTCGGCTCTACCTCTAAGCCCCTGATAGTGGAAGTTGTGCCATTTGAGATAACTGGTTATAACATAAAAGATCTTCTAACCAAAAAAATTTAGCTCCTACTTCTCCCTGGCCAAAGCCCGGAAGTTCTAGATCTAACCTTGCCGTTTTCCCATGCTACGTATCACTGCAATTTTCCTCTAAAACCATACAGTATCAAAAAGCTTAACTTCTTTCATTATAGAAACACAGAATTAGTGCTTCTCTGCTAATCCTGCACAAAGTAATTAAAATATACTCTGCTTCAAAAGGCGGAAAGCTCAAAGTCTTCTGTGCATGAATAAAATAATTTAAAATGCATTAATAGAGGGAGCTATCCAAAAAGAAATGTGTGGCTCATCTTTTCATTAGAGGAAGCATTTCTGCCATCATTCACTCACGTAACAGTTAAACTGTGTATCAGGTGCTCTCAAAATAAAGATATGGACAGAATGACATTTATTTCATGTTCTGAACTACTTTTCTTATCCTTTTATGGGATTAAAAAAGCTGTCTTGTTTTAAAAGTTGGAAAGAATATATTCATTTTTACCACTTTTCTTGCTTTGATATCTTAAAATTATAAGTATTTTGTCTTATTCTGAATACAAAATGAAAGCATATATTACCTCTTAAAAAGTGATCTGAAAATTTAAAATTGGCCATTTCCTCCTCTAATCTTTTAGTTTAGTGTAACTGCATGCATGCACATATGCATATAGTTTAAGGAGAAAACGTGAGAAACCATTAATTTTGAATGTGGTTCCTGTAAATACATATTAAGTCAAAGAAATAATAGCTAGCCATTACCACTGAGCAAAAATTCCATGGTTTTTCCCTTCACTGTCAAAATGTTACATAATCCAGGCCTGGTCAGGTGACTCAGTTGGTTGAGTGTCATCCTGTACATCAAAAGGTTGCAAATTCAATCCCTGGGCAGGGCACATACCTAGATTATGGGTTTGATCCCTGGTT